ACTAAATGAATTTTTTTGACATTTATACAATAATCTGAAGGCCCACACAAATTAAGACTTAGGGCGAGTGCATATTAATTAGCTGTTGTCTCGTACCCTTCTATTTGACCTCATATGCATGACCTCGTCGTCTAGCCGTCTTGCCATATCGCTACATAGTTTAGCCTAATGCAAAATGTCATGGCAGCTGAGTGTCTGAAGTTTCTTTAAAAAGACCAGCAATTGTGAATTGTAACATTGACACGAAGCGTCGTGCGGCGCTGCATGCATTCCGGTCACTAGCCGATTGATCGGTGCACCTCTAGTTATCTTTTTCATGTACAGTAGATCTTGTTAAAATATGAAGTAGACATCCAAGTTATGTGTAGATTCAAACAGAGCTTAGTTTGAACATAGTGTGGGAGGATGCAAAATTTTTATAGAATAATTATTAAATATAGCATAAGTTGCAACATCATAACTTTTGCCTGCTGGAGCAAACACTATGAGCCTGATTTACTAAAGGTCAGCTTGAGTAAAAATGTGTGCAAACTTGATATCACCAGCAAATTAAAGGGGCATTATGTAGTTTCCAGCCGTCACTAGCGGTGCGGTTTTAAGATTGCAACCAGGCATGTGCTCGTACGTGTGCTCGCTTGAACTCACGAGCGAGCATAATCCGAAACACAACCACTTTCACACAGAAATCCTGAAATAAACGCAGAAACACCAGCATGCAGGCTGTGGCTTTTCACTGAAACATGTTCAGGTTCTGTTATTTCACCGTTCCCGTCTCAGAGGCAGGTCAACACCGGCTCCGTAACGTTACTTCATTCAGCGCAGCCAGCCGCATATCAGCACAATTCTACCGGAAAAAAGGCAGAGTGACAGAAGCTAAAGGCAGGCAGGGAGACTGCTTCACACAATATACTGGAAACTCAGGTAAACCCCCACTGCAACGTTACAGTAATAGTTTCATCAGCTGCAGGTTGAACTAATTCATGCTCGTTACATGATCACGGTACATTTACTGCATTTAGCCGACGTGCTACATCGTTAGCTCGCCTGCTGCTTTCAGTAACTATCTTTATTATCAGTGTATCTTTCACTAGAGGCTCAGCAATGTGAGCACAGCTACATGCTTTGGATGATAATGAAACGGGTAGTGAGCTGGACTGAATATTATAACGAGATTGTGTCACTTTATAATAATTAGACCACTGTAAGTAAATTTACTGTAGTGTCAGTGGATGGCTCTACCTCTGGGTTGTATATTATGTAGGTCACGTTAGTTACAGCGACTGAGAGGTGGAGAAGCTGTGTACCTGAGTATCGGTAAAAGGCAATAAATCTAAATCGAACGTTACGAAGCAAACAGCGGCAGGTCCGAGCTTATGTAGCATTAGCTGGCTGCTCCTGGCTGCATCACTATAGGATAGGACATTTGCTTTTTACCGTTTCTTGCGGGCTTTGACACTTTGACATAATATCTGTGGTACACAGGATCGTAATATGGGTCGCGTTAGTTGGTGAATTAATGTGGAAAGCGATCGGATAACATTAGCAACTGCTCAGTGTTAGCCGGCGAGCTAACGTGACTTTCTCTGTGTTTGATGGGCTTCAGCACATGAACCTTTATTGTTATGGTGTTAGTGGGCTGCAGGTCGTTAGCTGCAGTCTGAGAGAGGCTCGGGAGCGCGCACAGAGCTGAATCCGACCAGGAGACCTCACGTTAAAAGCAGAATAGTGGCTGATGCAAGCAACAAAGAAAACAGGTGTGCGCTTAATTTCTAAGTGAGTTTTGAGCCCATTTACAATAAGGCATTTATTAAAATCAAAAACTTAAATATAGCCCCTTTAACACGTAAGCTGATCTACTAACGGTGTGCACGCAGAATGACGTCTTTCAAAAGTGCAAGATAGCACCTGTTGTTCATTTAGTACTTTTGCCTTAATGAATATGCAATTTGGGGTGTTTATTTACTACACACAATGTGATTTAACAAACGTAAATGCAATTTCATGTGAGTGCAACAGCATCTGTATTTAATACGTTTGAAAGGAAGGTGCAAACCGAATTTTTATTTTTTTTGTATTTTCCTTTAGCTTTGGCAATACTGTTGTATTAACATTCATGCCAATAAAGCACATTTCGTTTCGACCTGACTTCTTTTCTCCGTGAGATGGAGGAAGCCCCCAGCTGCACTGGAGCATGGATCAAGTGTAAAATTCATCCAGCCACAGGGAACGATCACTAACTGTTCACAGCCTGCCGGTCGTAATAGCGACACAACGCATTGTAGGTACCAGAGCGGGAATGGGGCGTACAGGGCCAGGGACAGGAGATTGCGGGGCGACCGGGCTCGGTGCGGACGGTCGGTGATTGTTCCCTCTGGCTGGATGATCTGCTGGCATTTCCTCGCATCTGGGTCATTCCAGCATACCGTAGCTGTTTCTGCTGGGGTTTCCCAAAGCAGTTTTTCAGGTGTGCTGTCCCAAGTACTTAGTGCAATCTCAGGCAGGATGTGCAGGTACATACGATTTCCACACGTGCAATATTTTAGAATGCACACGCAATTTACTACTCTTTATTTGGGATGTTAGTAAATCAAGCCCTATGTTTTTTTAGAAAGCAAAAGTAATAACAGGCAGAGGAGGGAGGAGCCCAGGAGCAGAGAGGTGGAGAGACTGGGCAGGTGATGGGTGAGGAGGGGGGAGTCCACACTAGCCACAGAGCAGGCTAGTGGGGACTCAGTTTACCCTGTTATATTATATTACATAATAATATACCAGGGCCAGAATATTTATTTTTATGATGCACTAACATGAAATAGGAATTACAGCTCGCACCACTTGACTGCCTATAACAAAAACATGATACACATGATAACGTACTGACTGAGGCAGTATTTGTAAAAAAAAAAAAAAATAAACAGTTTTGAATAATGTTTGAATTATGACATAATGAGCAGTTTTTTTAAAAGACAAAGTGTTAATAGTATACAATGTTTTTTTCTTACTGCTATTTTTTCCTTTTTGTTTCTCGTCAGTAATATCTTTATCTTCCATATCATCCAAACACTGCACTAGATGAAACTTCACTCTCTGCAACAATGTTTTGATTAAGATCGAATTTTTTTTTTGTAGCGTAAGTAGAGACGGAGCAACAGATCAAAGTGTGGAGTTTCATGGGAACTTGTTTGTTACAAAGTTGCACTTAGTGTTCACTTTACACTCCGCTAGCTCAGCTAGTGCAACAAGCTGCTGGAGTTCAAAACAATAACTGCAATATGAATTGCAATTGTTCAACTCAACCTTACATACAGTACAGCCAGGGCCATTGTGTCAAATTGGTAGCGAGTGTAATTGTCAGGAACACAGCACACTGATTCACACACATTTTGTTGAGCGTTGACACTGCCTTGCAAAGCAGTATAGAAGCAACCCACTCACTGAAACACTTAAAAACTCACACCTCACACACAGATAATCTTTCTGGAAACACGACAGGGCAATGTGTGCCCACCCACCCACCTACACCTACACAATCCCATCCTTTCTCTCCCATCTTCCACACAAAAGAAAATTCTCCACTTACTGATAAAGACCTGTATCAGAAGATGACAGTATTTTTGAAAAGGTTATCCTCTTAGTGTGTTTGCCAACTCCTGGTATCAGATCCAATAAGTTGTTTGGGCTGAAATCAGGGTTGAAAGGGATTTCATTGCCTTTCCACACATTTAAGCTTCGAAAACATCAGCCGTGTGAAAGATTAAAGTGCAGGAAGGTCAGTGACTGTAAAAATACGAACTTTACAGGCTTGATGAATGAAAGACACAGATACTGAAAGCCAACCATGAGGCCTTGGCACAGACCAGTCAGTGCTGGAACTCATTCAAATGTATTGTGTAAGGAAAAGATGCCAAATATGATAAGTAGCGCATTTGAACTTTTCACACCACAGCAGCCAAAAGCAGGCACACACTCTTGAATGCAGTTTCTAGCCTTTTAGCATTCATTTTCAGTTTCTCGCCAAAAGGAAAGAGATGGGAGATGGGAAAATATTTGATCATTACAATGAGTTTTTAACTATGAAACGGTCTAACGTTAGCCAGTTGAAAGGGAGCAGGAGAAGATTAATATTTAAAGAATTATATTTGTGACGTTATATTTTGTGATTATGACTAAAACTGGGGCTGGATCAGCAAAGACAAAAAGAAATAACTACCCCCCCACCCAAAAAAAAAAAAAAAAAAAAAAAGGTATAAGGGACAGTGATAAAGCACAGGCGAAAACATGAGTCAGCCTTGGTTGGTCATTCAGCAGATCGCAGAAGGATTTGAAAGGATTCAAAACCAATTTTAAATTGGCCCTCTTCCTCCTAGACAGTTATGTAATATGTCTATTTTTATTTGGCTATGTACAGTCAATGGAGGACTGTGTTCGTAACTTTAACTTTCTCAACAAAATTACTATTACCATTTAACTAGATCTGTTGCTTATAGGCTTACATGTAACCTAAGTGTATCGAAGGTACTAAAACAAAGTTTACTTTGTTTCACCATCATCATAATACAGTTACTAATCTTACATAGCCACATGGATACAAAATCTAATCTCTATGCATCCTGACAACAGCTTTTTTTTTTTTTTTTAAAGAAAATGGCATTAAAAAATAGGTTGCTTCTTTCTTTCACTCGCTTCTAAAACAAATCATGGGCTAGCCAGATCAAGATTCATTTGTCCACAGGGGTCTCCTAAAATAAAAGCCTTTGTGTGCAGATTTCACAACTGTTAAAACCCTTGGCAGACTTAACACAAAAAGGGAAAATCTAAGTATGCTTAAGCTACTGAAAATTTGTCAGGCATTAAACAGCCTTATATCAAACATATGCAATAAACGGCAATTAATGCACATGTTCTTGAAATGGCCTCCAGCTCAGTACATGGTTAACAATAACTTAGACCGACAGGCCAAAAGTCATAATGTAAAAAAAACAGGAAGTGATGTTGATACTCACTGGAGCTGTAGCCTGGGCCTCCTCGTCATAGTACTTTTTCCTTTCATACTTGTCCCGGATGAAGACCTCCACTGCTCTGAGGGTTAGAATTAAGGACTGAAATACTGCACAAAAATGTCCAAACATCCATTATGCACACAAGACACCTTGTCTGAAAGTGGGTTTTAAAGCAAATCCTATCAGTATAACTAGAACTTCCAATCTTAAGAATCTAGGACAGGTTACATTACTTGCGCCCAAATTTCAAAGTCTTTAATTTACTGGTGCAAAAACTTTTGACTTTGGGGTGTCCTCGTAGCATAACGGTTATACAATATCATATAATCACATGGTCTCCAGTACCTCTCTGTACACTGTCTGCAAAAAATGCCCCAAATTAATGTACAAATGTTGAAGACCTATGTGAAAAATGTTTTTTTTTTTTTTTAAACTAACAGAAACAAGAGACATTCTAGAGATGGATTATATCTCTTTGCCTAATTGTATCGATGCCATTACTAATATTGTTCAGTCAAAGTGATGGATCAGTAAATTATAACAATAGTGGTTTCATTAACAACCAATATTTGGGTGGTCGGCGCGCACACACACACACACACGCACTCAACCTCACACCCCCAAACTCCAACTCACACACTCTCAAACATACGGCGCCAGTACAACCAGGCACTACATCGGCGCTAATCCCGACTCTCTTATCTCCCTATTTCAGCAGCGATGCTTCTGTGGGGTCGAGTATTAGACTTCAAAAGATTGAAAAATGATGACCACCCGTGCAAGTCAAGCTACGAGATAGGCTGCAAGAGGCAGGCTGCTGGAGCTGCATCTCAAGAACAGCACTTATTTATTCCTGTTGAGTAGAAACAGTAGAACATGCAGGATGCTACACTATAATACTCGGAATGGCACTACAGTGTAGCGGATAAATGTGTACCAAATGACATGGTGGTTATGTGCGCATGACAAAAAAAAAAAAAAGGAGTGTTAGATGAAGACAGATGGTACACCACTGAAGGACCTACAAAACACACCAGACCACTGAGACTGATATATGGGCCCATTGCTGACCTTTGACATAAATCATATCCGGTTCAGTCAGTGCTGTCCAACTCTCAACATTATAGTGGCTATCAGTGAGAAGACTTAGCATATAGATGCCTTTACACTGCATTAGTACGAAATGGTGAGGTAGCTACTGTAGGTACACTGGAGATAAGAACATTTCCACAATGCAAGAGTGTGTAAAAAGCTGCACAAGTGCCAATGCCACAGTTAAACGTCATCATACACTTTTCAGTAAACCACACGCAGATTCATGGAGGTCAGCAATTGAAAGGCCCGTGTTGTGAAGATACTAAAAAGTTTAAAAGGCTTTGCATGACATTTCATAAAAGTGAAGTGAAGCCATTCAGTGAGAGACAACATTTGGGATTTGTTAAAGAATGTGCTGCACAAGGAGTTGCAATGCGGGACCACTAGTACTGGAAGTGTTTTTCCACATTTTATGTTTTTTTTTTATTTCAGTGTTACTGAACAAAAGAAACGTGGGACTGTTTGTTATAGCCACCAGATTTTTTTTTTCAGCTTTGTTTCTGAGAAACCGAGTTTTGACCGTAAATTTGGCATGGCAGACCACTATACAATACCCATGAGATATGAGCCATTGCCATGCAGAAGAGGCCATCAGGTATTCAGTTGAATATATCCACAATTGAATTTAAAAGTGAACTGATTCAAGAAGGAGATTGTGTTTTTAATGAATGGATGTTCCTTGCCGAGATGCAAGTTCAAGTCATAGTTACTGTCGTGCCAGCTTCTTATCAAATAACGAGACATTTTTCTAATGCAGTTGTAAACCCTTGGTACTGATGATTAAACTCGGAGAGCTTCACGCTAATACAAGCCTTAGAAGCACACTGTGAGTCACGTAACACTGTCTATGGGGAAAATGAATGGGACTTCTTGAACCAGCCTAAAACATTTCCTTACATTTTGCAATGCTACAGAATCATTTGGGGTTTATTGTATAGAAGCTGGTCATTACTGATCCTTTAACAATTTTGTGTTATGGTCAAATGAGCATCCATGTCTGCCATAGTTTCATTAGCTAATGTCAAAACCGATGGGCCCCATTCTGTTTTTGTTTTTTTTTAATCATTACCTCTGCAGTGCAGGGGACATTGTTTGACAGGTTGCTAGACCCAGCTGTCACTAGTTAAGTTGGCTAAGGTTGCATATTGAGCAGGCGCTGTTTAGATATTGCATGCATGTAATTTCCTTATGTTGGCATCATATCTTTCTGGCGCATTACAACTAAGGTGAAAGGGGTGGGAGAACTTGGCCCTATTACTGGACGTTTTAGTGAAAACTAGATGATTTAGTCAGTGTTATTTATGGACATTGATATATAATTCAATGTGGTGAACAGTGATCCAAGGAAACGTCACTGCAGAGCATCGTTTGTTCAGGGTCTCTATGGTGGATTTATAGTTGTGCAATAAGTGTAGTCCTGAAGTCCACTCATGTTGTAGTCACTGTAGCTATGCCATAGGCCTTCCCGTAGGTGAGCCACACCTCCGGAAAAAAAAGAGGAGCAACAGAAGCTACTGAGATACCACAGGAAGATAACAAGAGGCTTGGCCTGCTTGGGTTTTCTTTCACAACCTTTTGATGCCAGAGAACACTTCTGATAGTGAAGACAACATGAAGCAAGCTAGACTCAGTTATCATCTCCTTTCATTTAGCAAAGACACCTCCACTGCAAACTTTCTCATTGTGACACTGCTGCTCTGTCAGAACTAATGGAAGAACATAAATATGGGGGCTGAACAGCAGTAGACTACTAAACAAAATAGAAATTACCTGGCAGTAAGTTCAGTTCTACACGTATGTGCACAGCCCTGTTGCTCTGTATCACGAAGTGCATAAAAGAATGTGAACACATTCAGTGTTGCAGTGGTGATACCAGCGGGTGACAAAACTACAAATCAAGACCTATGCTGCAGGACCGCCCTCCTTGCATCAAATATAAATTCAGCTTTAGTGTCACATAATCATTTAAAATTGATTTTTTTCCCACCTTGACAAACATAACCAACTGCAAATAGACCAAGACAACATGAACAAATCCACACTGACGTAAAACATAGAAAAAAGTATTTATGATGTAGGAGTTGAAAACAAAATAGCAAACACGGCGGGGGAATCAAACTCCATTTTGTCATTCACATACATAAGCACAGTAAATAGCGAGGCCAAAATGATATGTGAGTACTAACACAGAAGCACACATAAAAAACACTCACACCCATTCAGGCGGTAGCTCCTCTAATCCTGGGTCTGTTATCTGCTGTTTTCAGCCAGCGGCGCTGCTGTCAGAACGACTAATGGACTTCAAAAGAGTGAAGAATGATGACCACCCGCACAAATGGGTCTGCCAGATACAAGATAGGGTATTAGAGCAGCATTTCAAACAGGGAGATTATTTATTTCAGTCTGCTGGTGGAAATATGAACATATGCTGCTGTGTTAACCACACAGCTGTCTTGTCTTGTTCATGGAAAAGGGCAAACTGGAAACCGCTGTTACGCCGCTGTATACACAGACACTGCTAGGGGTGGCAAAATGTGTGGAATGACGCTAACTTGGCGAGCCTGTCCCTTCTTATTTGATGCTGGAAATGATTTATAATAATATTAGAGAGCAAACTCACTGATCACACCTCGCTAATAACCTAGTTATTCAGTAACTTTTTAAATGACTTTGTCATTTAAAAGAACACCGTGCATTTGTATTGTCTTGTTGCAAATATTGAAGAAGTTGTCCAACTTATAACTGTGCCATTTACTCAAATGTACCTCGGTGTCAGCATAGATTATTATTATAACCTTTATTTAACCAGTAACCTTACATAGCATAGTATTTTCAGTGCAGCCACAGCCTACGATGCAAAAAAACCCAAACACACCACTATTAACCCTTTGAGAGCTGCTGTAAAGAAAATAAACTCGTCTCTTTAACATTATTCAAACGTTAACTGTGTTTTGGGTGCAGGAAAAGGAGCCTGGTGGCCATCGGGACCCATGACCTGGACACCTTCTCTGGTCCTTTCACATACACAGCAAAACCTCCAGGAGACATCAGCTTCAAACCCCTCAACCAGACCAAGGAGTACACCGCTAACCAGCTCATGACCCTCTACAAGGTGAACAGCTAGTTGGCTGGACGCAAGTTAGAAGAGCGGTTAACCTCAACCAGTCTCATCTATATTACAAGAGGCCAAGATAGGCTGCAGCACAATTAACAGGGTTGCAGACACGCAAAAAACAATTTGCCATGAAAATAAATAAACAAAAAATGAATAAATCATCGGTGGATAGCGCTGTGGCCTCACAGCAAGAAGGTCGTGGGTTCAAACCCCGGTTGGCCCCGCCTTTCTGTGTGGAGTTTGCATGTTCTCCCCGTGTCTGGGTGGGTTCTCTCCGGGTGCTCCGGCTTCCTCCCACCGTCCAAAGGAATGTGGACTAGGTTGATTGGTGACCCTAAACTGTCCTTAGGTGTGAGTGCGACTGGTTGTTTGTCTATGTGTGGCCCTGCGATGAATTAGCAACCTGTCCAGGGTGTACCCCGCCTTTCTCCCGATGTCAGCTGGGATTGGCTCCAGCCCCCTGCGACCCTAGCGGTTGACAATGGATGGATGGATGGATGGATAAATAAATCACAGGATTTCATGAGATTTCAAGAACAAACAGTCCTTGATATTGAAGTTTCTCAGTCCTGACCACTATAAAAAAATAAATAAATACAAGCTTCTTCACTTCTGACTGACTGGCAGGGATTCTGAGCTATTTAACCTCTGTGGTTCGTTATCAAGGTGATGGATACCACCTGGTTCGTTATCAAGGTGATGGATACCACTTGTTTCGTTATCAAGGTGATGGATACCACCTGGTTAGTGCTCTTGGCTGTTGTATCGAGAGTTGTTATGGTCGGAGTCACATGAGGCCAAGTCTGAACTACCGTCATTGGTAGGCCAAATGTGATCGTTTGTTCTATCTACTCGGAAGGGATGAAAGGATAGCATTGTAAGTGGGGGATAAGCGGTGTCTCAGCCCTGCTCCCCCATTGAGAGGTGGTTTCTCTACTCTGGTGTAGATAGCTTCTTTGAGTCCTCTTTCAAACCATCTGTCTCCCTGTCCAAAATATGTACATTGTTGTCATCAAAAGAGTGTCTCTTGTCCTTCAAACGTAAGTAAACTGCCGAGTCTTGACTTGAGTGCCTGGTTGTACTGGCGCTCAGGCACGTATGAAATCATGTTGTTGCTTCTACTCTTCTTTTCCTTGTCACATGTAGTCTTGGTGTTCTTCCTGGATCTTGTGGCTGTTTTCACAAAAGGTCCAGTTTAAATATCTACAAACTCACCCAAAGGTGTCATTTGCAGTTTGTATGGAGACATGGGGAGCTTTTAGATTTGTATGTACAGGAAGTATAAGGTGACATACAGTACGCAATGATACACCAACTGATACAGGCACTGACTTGACTGTGGCTTAGGAGGTAGAGCGAGTTATCAGTTCGATCACCAGCTCCTTTTGTCCAGATGTCAAATTGTCCCTGTACTCCAAGTTTCTACTCCAAGTCTTGTATGGCAGCTCCATTGGTGTGTTAATGAGTGAACGAGAGGCAAAATTGTAAAGAGCTTTGTCCAGTAAAGTAAAAGCACTATGTAAATGTAATTCATTTTTACCATTTACTTGTTATGCAAATTTATAATGAGACATGTATGGTGACAGACATGTGCTATGAGAACAGCAGTATATACTTCAATGATGCTGACATGTATTGTGAGAAAAAAAACAGGTTTTTATTGAAATGAAGTTGGGGTTGAATAAATGCTGTTGCCAATAATGGACATTCAGAGACCAACACACAGAAAGCAGGCAGGAGGAGGATACTGGTCTGTTTGTGGCCGTCTGAAGTTCTCTGGTAGGTGGGCTTCATACAGCTTTCTGGCCCTGCTGTTGCCCATGTCCACCATACTCTGCAAGGAGAGAAGGAAAGAAAGAAAGAAAGAAAGAAAGCTGTGTTAGTACCAGGATAGCAATTGGTAAAATGCCTTTCAAACATGGAGTAAACAATTCTGGAGAAATCCAACACCATGACAAATACCATCTTAGAGCGAACAACGACACAGCAAATAATGTAATAAACGTTAGCGAAGTTGTGGGTTAGCAAACTGTCAGTACAGTTGTTGCTGCAAAGCTAACATGCAAGAAGACGAGACAGCCCTACAGCCAGCACACCAGCTCCAGCTCTCCAACTCTCCTGCTACTATAGCTAACATCACAACAACAGCGTGTCTTGGTGAACTTAGAAGTAAGCTGAATGTCTGTGGATGAGTAATATAACGTTTCCTGACACCTAAATCTTAGCTAGAACGGCTATAGTGTTGGGTGGGTGCAGGCCACTTTGTTTACCATTTACAGAGACAGGGCTGGGTACAAATGGGTTTTTTTTCAGTGCACACTCACAGAACGGATAGCTAGAAGACTGTGAGGAGACATTCGCGGAATTTGACAAAAAGATGTGTAGTGAGTTTGAATCGCTTACAACACTTTTAAGAACATGTCAAACACACACAGCGAGTTCTTTCATTCGTCACATCTGCATTCAACTCAGTGTGCCTGCTGACTCCTTCCCATGCACACTCACACACACATGCAAACACACAGGGTGAAAGAAACACTGGCCGTATGTGTCAAGGCTAAATTAAGAGGAGGGTGATAAATGGAGTGATGATAGGAGAAGTGGAGGAGATGGAGTCGGAATAATCAACCATCCAGAATTAATTAGTCATTGAAAACAGTGATTAACATTCAGAGAGAGACCCATTCTCCTCACACTCTGCTGATGGATAGGCATTGCTCTGAAGAAACACACAAGCGCACACCTTTACCATAGTACACACATACACACCGAACAACTGAATATATTAACAAGTGGATGATTAAATAAATTACTGGCACGCTCAGGTGGGTCACACACACACACACACACACACACACACACACACACTCCTGATTTACTGTGTAATTGAATCAATGTGACATGCTGGTTACCCAAAAAACACACCTATTATTCACACAGATTAAGCATGGGTGTGTGTGTGTGTCTTCACATACGCTGAGGTACTATCCACTGTGTGAAAGTACACTGGAATGCATACTAAATACTAGAAATGCAACGATTGTTCGGCCACCAAAATTAATCAGCCGAAAATAACATTTTCATGTTCGTCATAAAAACAAATAAATTTTACCGAACAATTAAGTTGACATGTCGGCAGTGTGGAAGCATTTTAAAGTGTCTGAGAAAGACGCAAAAATCTAACTAAATTGTCTCCTGGCACATCCGGACCATCTGTGGCTGACTTCTTAGAAAAGGCAACAAACGGTCTGACCCGCTTTGAGTGTTTGTCACTCGTTTGTGAGAAGGCGATTAAACTAGCCGCACCTAAATTTGGAGTACATACGTATTTACTCCTTTATGGTAAATCCACTGAAACAGACCAGAGCGAGCTGACAGGCAGGTTAGTGACTTTATCCTGTCAGTTTGTCTCTTTATAAAGACAAGTGTTGCAGTATGAGAGTCCTACCTGAAGAGAGGCTGTGAAGTCTTCATGTTACGCTGTACGAGAACCACATACAACATTATTTATCAAATTTTCCAAATAAGGTGTCTATACAGCATGGAAATAAGATTAATTGGATTATATTTACAGAAAGTATAAAACATATTTCATGTGTCCTTTAAAAGTAAATGGACACATTGTAATTTACTTTACCAGACCCTCTCGGGCCTCGGACCCACCCACCATAGTCTCTCCAAATCCTGTGGGAAACACTGAGTAAAAAGCACATTTTGACTATTTAATTTATGCAATGGCAAAAAAGGTCAAAATAAATCATTATATTTGGTTTCGACTTCGGCCAAGAATTTTCATTTCGGTGCATATTATATACCTCATTTCTTTGGCAGTGTGTGTGCGTGTGCGTGTGTATAGACTGGTGTATTTAATCCTTTGAAAACAAAATTGTTTTTGCTCGGTTTTCACTCCGTTTATTTATCGCTCTGCCTTCCAATTATTGTCATTTTCAGCTACTAATCTGAAATGCCTTCACTTCACACATGTTAGAACTCCACCAAAACAGAAATGACATTGTGCTACTCCAGAGATTTTTAAAAGCCAGCTTGGTTTGTTCAGAATAGATATAATCACAGAGATAATCGGTGTAATAGTTATTACGTGTGTCTGCTCCTTTATGTAGGGACGAGTTCAAATTCACAAATGCTAACTGAGCAACAGTACTGAGAAGAAGTGTGAACAGTATTAACGTATGGATTGTCATTTATGGTGGATTTCTCCTTTAATACTCAAGTTGTTGCTTCAGTACTTCCATGCTGGTCTGAATTGTTTTGTGTGTTAAAAGGTGGGTGTATGGCCCTGTTTGTGTGTGTGTATACCTGGATCTGCTCAGGTGTCCACTGGTCCAGATTGACAGATTTGACTCTGGAGATGTGGACACCCAGGTTGCGGTGGATGCCAGCGCAGCGGATACACATGAACACTCCGAGGTTCCATGACGCCCACCGTGGGCCTGAAATGGGAAAAAAAGAGAAAAATAAATAAAAGAGAGAGAGATTTAAAGCTGCAATGCTTACAATCTAAATGTAAAAGACCTGCTGTGTTATCACTTTAACTGACTCAGTACCACAGCTGCAGAGAGGAGTCTTCCATCCCTACCATTTGAGACTATGTAGATTCAGTCTTTTAATTCCCTTTCAATTAAAATCAAAATTGCGATAGAACAGAAGGACGTGATGAAAGCCAATGAGTGCGACAGTCACAGTCTATCACACATTTGAAGTTAACTCTCACTTCCGCATGAAGCCACAAATTGTGATGTTTTGAAATACCAGGTTTGTCACCTAACAATGAGCGCTTGTACTTTCCGGTAAGTCTTACAGTTTGTTTGAAACAAATACAGTAAGAACTCTGTTGTGATATCCAACACAGCTGCACAGACAAAGTTCACAGAAATTCAAGCTCAGTAGTCGCAGTTTGGCAAAACTGTTTGAAAGGGATTTCTAAAAAGTGCAGTAGCATGCAGGTACAGTGCTCTGTCAGAGTTTAACAGAAACTCAGCTTAATATGAAAAGATAAAATCCAAACAGCATAAACATTCCAAGCCTTTACTTACTTTGGAGAAATTGTCTCACTTCGAAAACTTAGTTTAGTATTTCAGAATGTACAGACTTCAACTTTAGGTTATCCTGAGACATTTTGAAGACATTCTTATCAAAACTGTTCAATAAGTAATATCCCAAATCCCTTCACTACATCTTAATGGGATTTCACAAAGGAGCACAGGGCGGTTTGTATTATTACTGGATTTCATTTGATTACAGTTTCTATGGTTTCAGAAGTATTCTTCTCTATAAAAGTACAAGTTTGCATCAGTTATTAGTCATTTTTAAGCAAAAGCAAATGTGCCGATTTATTTTTTACTTTAAATGTACAAGTCATGTTTAAATAATGGCTGCATTTAATCAACTCCAAAAACATAAAGCAGACTTAGTGTTTTAAGATGGTTTCAAATCTGATCTTTAAAGGGGATCTATTGTGCTAATTTCAGGCTCTATATTTTTATTCTGGGATTCCACCACAGTAGCTTTGCACGATTCACATTTATCTTACATTTTACCTCCTGTCTCTGTAAAGCTGCAGTAGGGAATTCTTTTAAAAATAACTTTTTGTCATATCTGCTTAAACTGTCATGAAGTGTCATGAACCTGTGCTGAAGTTTTTGCCACAGAAGCACACTATTGACTGGCCAGGTCCCACAGTTCACCATTTTCATCCTCTCTAGTGATGGCCTGAAGCAATATCTCTTTTTACTTTGACTTAACTGCTATTCACTCTTTGGGGAAGTAAAAAAAAGTGTGTGTGTGTGTGTGTTGGGGCGGGATTATATGTATTATGTAATATGCGGCAATGCAGCAGGCATGGTGCCACAAATTTTTAGCACTTTAGATTGTTTTAACACAAAAGGGGGCATGGTCATTCAGACGACATGTAAGTGAGATGTGCCTGCTCTCATCTATGGATGTATAATAACACCTAGATACAGTACCGCCACTCAGCCTTGCTTCAAATTTTGCCCTGTGGCCATTTGCAGTACTGCAGCAAAATATTCCCCAGCAGCTCAAAAACCATTTTCCCCATAGGCCATCATTATAAAAGCGATGTCTGTACAACTGGGGGTGGCGATGGGGCAATGGCTAAGACACGACTTTGATGTGGGAGACCTGGGTTTGACTCCCACTGCGACACCTCCACCAATGTGTCCCTGAGTAAGACAATTTAGAGGCGTGCAACCTCTGACATTTATAGCAATTAGCAGTATGAGAAATTATAAGATAACAATATTATGAGATTTCTCATCAGGTTAAAAGCTGACTCATGAGACTCCATCACAAAAAACAAGTAAAAAATACTACACACACTTTTGCTAAGAAAAGAAAGTGTTGCGTTGATCATTTGTGCCATCCTGTGTGCCAAAACTTCAATAAGGGAAATAAAGATAGTTTAATTTAGTAGTTAATAGCTTTAATTAAATGTCACTATAATTAAAACCCCATTTTTAAATTATGAAAGGTACTTTAAAAACAGGCCTTTAAGCTCAATGAAAGCAGCTCTCAGTTTAATTGACTAGTTTTCAAAAGTTTTCAAAAGCTTTCATTAGCTCGATGGTCATAGGTTTTTAATCTTCAGAAACCAGAATAAAAACAAGGATGTTGCCACATTATCGATTATCTGTGACGATGGAGAACCACAGATCTATACCTATTCTCCCCATGTGAAGTACAAATTTTCATGGAACAGAGGTAAAACCAACTAAATTTGGATTTTGCGTCATTGTTTGCTAGACAGAGGCCACTCAAAAGAACAACTAAGATGGGGTTACCAGGGTTCTACAGTGCAAGTATTCACTCAGCGAGCAAGTAAAGACTACAACCTAATCATTCAAAACATAGTTGGACTGGCCATCGCTAGCACCGGGTGAAATCCTGGTGGGCCAGTCGCTCTGTAAGCCACTTGATCAGCCATTATACAAAAACAAGAGAGAGATGCGTCAGCAGCAGCTGATGTGGTAAAACAGAAGACAACAGGGATAAGATAAGCTCGTTTGGTTTGGCTATATGGCCAATGGCCATTTAGCTATATCAGGTGCCTTTTGTAGAATCATGTTAAACGTTTTCACAAAGTCGATGCTCTTGTCAACGTCACTTTCCGTGAACCGAGCAATCACAATGGGGCAGGACATTAAATAAAAAGTCTACGCGCTACACTAACTCTTTCCCTCCGCCCTCAAGTGTGGCCGTTTGTTGCGCCGACAGAAAGCTTGAAGAGCAAAAAGTGACAAAGTGGGGTGGGGTTTATAAAAGGATAAATTGCACTACACAATATTCAAACAAACAGCATAGTTAGTACTGAGCCCGTCACTTTTGAAATTTGGCATAGAAAATAAAACCGGAACAGAAAAATGAAACATTAACATTGAAACATTTGAATTGGAAAAAGCTGTATTCACACTGAAAAAAGTTTTATTGAAACTTAAAACACAGGCATTAAAAATGACTTAATTTTATTTTTGATATTTTTTGCATTTGTTTTTCAATGACAGATTGTTGCTTCATGTCACTCCTTTTTCTGTGCCAGTTTGTTTTTACATTTCTACACTTGGTGACTGGGTTTTACTTTCAACTTTCTGTCACCGTTTTGGTGTGGAGAGGAGGAGTTTGAGGGGAGAGGGTCAAGGAGACTATTATTTACATATAATGTGAATACTAAGGAGAGAACATCACTTTTCCTGAACCAGCAGTCCTCTCGTTCATTGCGAAAGCCGCTGGCATCACCGCAGACCAACGGCAATGGCTTCCACAAGCTCACCTGGAACCATAGACTGTATATAAGAAATGGACGAAGTCATGGTGACGTCACCCATTGGTTTGTGGACTGCGGTTTCGGACCCTCGAGTTTTGCCGATAGGGCGCCACCATGTTGAGTTTTTGCAACCAGCGGCACCGGATGTGACCATATTTGGACGGGACGGTTGAGCTAACAACCGTGTGCGGAGCTAGCTTAGCTTAGCTAGGTGCATCTGGAATTCACGTTAACTGTCATTTTAACAGGGCTGATAACTTTGTCTAGCGAACAGCTGGCTTAAAACTAAATGTACTCACCAGAGAAAGTGAACACCCAACTCCTAATAAGCTTTTTCAGCAGAGCTGGTTAAATTTACACAGTGCCAAGGGTACGAGTCAGTCTAGCCTGATTGACATTGAGAAGGGTTGACTTGTCAATCATAGATAATCACGACCAGAAGCATACTCTGCTTTATGGTCTACTTTTTAAAAAAATGGGACCATAATTTACTAAATATTTCTAATGGAGCTGGACTTCTTTCTGCAACCAGAAGAGTCGCCCCCTGCTGGCCGTTCAATAGAATGCAGGTTTTAGGGACTTCCACGTTCACATCAGATCACTGACCGGAAGCTTTCCGCTTGCTCTCTGCCATTTGAGAGGCTTCAGGTACAGTGATGTGTGGGGGAAAAATTATACTTAAATGGTATACTTAAAGTGCGGAGTTGTTGTAAACGTTGGCTAACACAGCTAAAGTTATAGCTATAATGCTAACGTTACACCCGATGTGAAAGTTACTGAGCAAACGTTGAAATTGTTTGGCCAATTTTTATGTAAAATTAAGTTGAAATATGGTGATTTTTGTAGTGGTTTATGGTAAGATGTGGAACAATGATGTTGTGGTTGTGGACTTGAGAGTAACTTATACCATCTGTTACGGTCGCAGTCGTAGCGGCTTTGATTTGGATCACACTACCTTGTTTCTTACGACCCCCCCTTCTCTGCTTCTGATTGGCTAGTAGTCCTTACCTGGGAACTGCGCATGTGCAACTCCCAACAAAGATTTTGTACAAGTAAGATGCATCACTCTGTAGCTCAAGAGTGGAGCGTACAACACACAGGGTGAAAAGAGGAGCTGCAGCAATGTGCAGTATATATGGTGTTTTTGAAAATTAAACCATGTAAACCTGTTCTGGAACAACCCCTAAATAAGATTTTGAACCTGAAAATAAGCATAATACCACCTCTTTAAATAAATTAAAATATCTGGATCACTGAACATCAAACTCAAAGTAATTAATAAATTAATCTGGTACAGAACAAAAAACTAACCGTAAAAAAATGTAGGTGGGAGCCTTTTTTTAAATATTTTCCTTATAAGAAGACAGATATAAAGATGGGATACAAAAATGGTGATGTACAGTAGAGGTTTGAATAAGATCTGGGGTGCCAGTCAGAGTGCAAGATAATACTTTAGTTCAGTACCAGTCAACCCTTCAAAGGCCCCATGTATTTCAGTACATGACCCTTTAAAAATCACTAACAACTAGGTACATCATGAGCAAACAACAAGCACAAAACACACAAGAGTCCACCACAGTGTATCATGCTGTCAGTGCTCCACACAAACCCCAACTCAACTGACAATGAATAAGCTCAACCTTATCAACA